TATTATGCTGATTCATTGCCTTTATTTTGGGATCATATATTTTAGAGAATAGCATTTTTGTGTGTAAAAGAAAGATGTGTTACTTTCTGATTTGACTTCTGCAGTGATCTTAATGCCTGTATTTCACATTCATAGGAAAAAAAATATGTATCACTGCTTATCACCCCTCTTACCTCCTCATTACAGCAAAGTCTCATGTTTTTACATTATATTTTCCTCTCTCATTAATGAATCAATTTGGCCTCATATTTTGAAATGGTTATTTATGAGAGTGAACAGCCTTGAAATACTAAAGCATTAATTTCTATATTTCTTTTGCTGGCTTCCTTTGCAATTTCATTGCAGCTTTTATGTAGTTAAAAAATAATACTTTTACATTGCTTTCTACACAGAATAAGAAGGAAGCCTGCCTTTTTTGCCATAGGAATATTTTTGAGAAATATATTGGTTTCACTCATTATTCAAACTATAGTTGTAAGCTAAGTGGAGCTTTCCATGGCACATTTCTGTGTAAAAGGTGGAAGGAGATAAATAGATGGAAAGCTGCTTGTAAAATGTTGTAGAATTAAAGAAAAATTTCCCCTAAAGCAATTTGACTAATAAAGGTTATTTCTTATGGGTTTGCCTTCCATTTGAATTCTGTAGTATCCAGTAATGCTCCAATCTATATATACTACTTTGCAGAAGACTGCCCTGAAAGCAAGCTGTGAAGCAGGCACAATGGGAACTGCCTTTTGCTCCTTCTGGGGTGAGCCACTGAGCTGAGGAAAATGCACGTCCCAGGGAGGAAACTGGAAAGACACACTCCTGGGAAAAGAAATTCTTGCTTTAAGAAGAAAAGAAATCCTTGCTCTAAGGATACCCTGTGCATTTAGTGTGGACAAGTCATGGGACAGTCCTTTCATTGCTGGGCAAAGTGGTAAGAGCTGTGGAATATAAGTGAGTTCCTGATACGAAAATACAGTTTATTCTGTTGTCATAATGGTGGTGTAGCTGGGTATCATGACTGTGCCTCTGTGCATGCTTTAGACATTATTTACCTGGGTAATCAACAGCCCCGCAGCCAGCCATTTGGCTCAGTGAGAGAACAAACTGGTTTGAGACAGTGCACTGATTTGGAATGAGTGCTAGAAGTAGCTCCTCCATAGCAAAGTATTTGACTGATTGCACCAGGAACTTTCCAGATGGGAATTTCAGACAGTGCTGGAGATTCTCCACAGGCAACAATTTGTATGCTCAATATGTTGATTAGCAAGAGTGTCCTAGAGATACCCAGGCTGTTTCTGCTGTAGAACTGATATATGTGATAAAACACTTGGAAATAGTAGAAATTGTTCCTGTAGCTACAGAAATGGTCATATAAGATATTTCAGAGTTGTTTTCTACGTAGTTAAGATAACCATGTGCTGGAGTAGTTACATAGGACCATAAGCCAAACAGGTTAAAACTGAGCAGAGCAGCAGCACTGGTAATCTCAACCCACCTGAAGACACTGATGCAAAAACTCCTGCAGCAGAGACTACTGTTGCCATCTGACAGCAACTGGCAATCGTGAGATCTGATTCTCTATGCAAGTGTTGTTGCATGCTAACATGCCAATAATTTTTTTTTCTTTTCTTTTTTAATGAATTTTGTGTCCATGCCTATGCAAAAGGTAGAAACCAACTTGAATGAATACTCTGGTGAGCAGGTTCTTCTATAAAAGATAAGTACTTCTTCTCTGATCATGTTTCCAAACAAAGGTAATCCTTAGTAAATTGTGACCTCTGTGAATTTGTTTTAACTGCCAAATAGGACTAGATGTAAATAGCTGCCAAGTGTTTAGGCACAGCAGACCCCCTTCTTGTGTTTAGTTTCATGAATTATAAGTTGTGCTTTAGGGGTCGAATATTTAGTCTAGGCTTCTAATTTGAGTTAGTAATTTAGATTGCCTCTACTACAGAAGGAAATACACAATTCTAGGGTGCAATTCATCCTACTTCCATCAGATGTTCCTATTTCTCTCCACCGATTGCAAAGACATCTTCAGGTAGCTAGGTTAGATATTAACATTTGCTTTGCAGATACTGAAAGTCAGGCAAAATTTGCCTGCAGGCCCCAAAGCTGTATCAGGAGAAGCATTAAGAGCAGGTCAAGGGAGGCGATCCTCCCTCTCTACTCAGCCCTGATGAGATGCCTTCATGGTGTTGTGTCCAGACCTGAGCTCCCCAGTACAAGAAACATAGACATAAGAAAAAAAGCTTTTTTACTCTGTGGGTAGTCAAACACTGACACAGGCTGCTCAGAAAGGCTGTGGCATCGCCATCATTTGAGATATTCAAAATCCAACTGGACATGGCCTTGAGAAAATTGACCCTGCTCCAAGCAGAAGGTTGGACTACATGCTCTCCAGAGGTCCCTTCCCACCATTCTGTGATCATGTGAAATTATTCCAATTAATGGCACCTACATTTAGTCTAGTAAACTTTCTTATATCTTCTTTTGTTTATTTTTACAGCTTTTCTTTAATCTGAAGGAATGTGCCACATCTCTAGCATGACATTTCAATAAATTGTTCTCATTTCAGGGATTTTTATTATTGTCTTAAACTGACCTTCCCATACAAATTCTCATAAATAGTGAACCTGAAAACATTGTCTATATTTAAGGAATTTTCCTCATGGCAAGAATTAAAAAAAAAAGTAAATGGGGTTTGGACTTCTGTTTGCAGATGTGAACATACCTAATATGAGATTCTTGTATCTAAATAATTGTACTGTACAAGTTAATCTTACATAGTCTTTGTACAGGGCTTTATCTTGAAACCCTTGCTCAGGTGACAGAAATTGTCTCTAACTAAACATTGAGGAGAAAAGACTTTGAAGCTATATTGCTATATTGTGTAAATGTGAAATATTTACTGTGCATTTGGAGCACAGATTTCATACTCTAACCTAATTCTTGCCTACAGGTATTCTATGAACATATTGAAAAATTGGAAGTTTATCCTCTGATCTCCAACTGTGCCTAATTAGGACATAAGGCTTGCTTACATTAATAAAATAAAACATTCCATAGGAGAAAATTGGGTTTGGTTTTGTTTTCATGTGTGAAATTAAACCTGTATATTACCCCTTCAAAAAGATTAAAATCTAAATTAAAATTAGATTTGCCATGTCAAAAAACTCTCAGAACAGCATCCTTGTAATATTGAACTAAATGGAATATGAATAAGCAATATTCCTAGTCCTAGGAAAATATGGCTTAGAGTTTCTGTCTTTGAACCACAGCAAAGTATTTGGCTAAAATTCTAAGGAAGTAAATAATGCATCGGTAATGTTTGCAATGCTTCCTTTAGTTATTTAAGCAAAACAAGCAAGAGGTTTACTTAACATTGGCATAACTATTCCCCCTATTAGTTTTGATCAATTGCTTTGTGGTCATGTTCATTAGACAGCCTAATCCGAACTGCAATTAGATTTTATCCTTTTAAAAGACAAAGCAGAATCCCAAGCCATTAATTAAAAGGTCTGACTACAGTTGTTTACAAGATGGATGTTGCATACCCTTTACTGATGACTCAACTCAGCAAAACAGAGCACTTTAGTTTTAAGTGGCATATACTCTAGCAGTAATTGAATGAAAACTTTTGCTGTGGTGCAGGTGGAGAAAGGCAAATCATTTCATGTGCGGATTCCTGAAGACACGAAATGCTAATGAGAATCATGCAAATAAGCTAGATTTACATAGCAAGTATGATGAAAATGTTTGACGTAGGGGAGGCTGATTAATATACATTCCTGTGCCACTTATCTGCAACATTATTTCTTTCAGACACTGAAAAACATTTAATATTTAGTCTTCTGACCCACTGGATCTTATGCTGTGGTATCCCAAAACAATTTACGGTACCTGAAAAATCAAAAAACTCATTACTTGCTACAACTAAAAACCACAGGTCAGCTAGAACATTAATGTGCATTTCCAGACAGAGCTCTACCTCTGCAAATGTAAGAAAACTGTCCCCAAATAAATAAATCTGATCTATTACTTACTACATGATTCCTTAGTTCTGCAAATGTTTCCTGATTGTACTCCATGGATTTTCCCCAGGCCTTGCTTTGTAGTAGGCTGCTTCCTCATGCTATCCGAAGTGTAGGATGCACATTCCCATTCCACATATGAATAAGTCCATATTCTTTGTCCCTCTCCTCCCAAAACCACAAAAAGTCATAAATGTTGCTGATCTTTAAGAAGATCTGATATCATTTGTCAAGACAAGAAGCTGCACTTAACCATGCACAAAACCATGTAACATCAAATGCTCCAGGTTTAGGTGTCTGCTCCTCCAAAGGTTTCCTGCATGACCATAGAAAATATCAAAGGGAACTTCAGCTGATTTTGAAGGCAGGTAAACCTAGGTAGCTTTAGTGTAGGCTTCTGTGAATATGGCAGTATTTCTCAAATTCCCAGAGGTCCTGCAAGACTCTCAGCTCATGTGGTAACTGAGGAGAAGCACAAAATGTGAGGTGGAAAGATGAAATTTAGACGAGGTAACTAACCTTAAAGTAAAGATGAAATTTAGATGAGGTAACTACCTTTGAAAAAGAATAAACACATGGGTAAAGGGATTTTTTCTAACTAAAAAAAATTTCAGGATATGTTTTTAAATGCTTCACTGAGGCTTTCATCTGGTGTATATCTGGGTGTCTTTCCTCTTCCATACATTTGGAATAATAAGATTATTACCTAGAAGCTTAACAAAAAAAGGGGAAAAGCTGCTCATTGCCAGTGAGGGAAAAATGTATTGCAGACATAGCAATCAGGGCCTGCAGCTCTACCAGTCATCTGTGTGTAGCTAGGGTTGCTAACTCAGCAATAAGAAGGGAGCCAAAGCACACAGAGATATTTTTTTTTAATTAGTTTATTGTCCATTATTAATAGGAAACCCATAGAAAATAAAAATCCCAAATTGTAGATAAACACAAAAGCCTATTTTTAGTCTGTGAGAAATATGAGAAATATGAGAAGAAGGTACACTGCAGCCACAGGAGGTTATCTTCTATTTGTCTCATGTTTCCATCATAAGTTTACCTACACAGCTGTCTGTTAAGGTATTATCTGCCTAATATCTAGCAGTAACAAATCGTGCCCATGCACTAGGCTGGGGGAATGGCAAAGAAAAGCCTTGTAGTTAGTTTGAGGAAGGTTTGTCTGGCATAAATGTCCTCTAGGATGAAAATGAAAATGAAGAAAGAGCTGGGTTCCCCAAAGATAACCAAACAGAGTGAAAAAATCAGGAAAATACAGGACCAACATCAAGAAAAGCAACAAGGCTAAACACAGAATCGAAAGATTATAGCAAGGACAGGCTTTGCTTCAGAGCAACACTGCTAGCACAGGGAGTCAGAATTTAATAAATAAAAATTTTATCATCTTGCAATGATTTTCATGTAGATCTTCATAAACCATTAAAATCCTAGATAGCAAACCTCTGGATCAGATCTTCCTGATAGTGAGCAAAATACTCGGCTGAAAGCACTGGGGCAAACCATCATCTTTATCAGGTTGTCTTTGTTTGGTGTTTTCAGCAGACAGCTGGAAGAGAAAATTATTCCCAGATTGGTATGCAATGCATCACTAAAGATTAGAGACACTTTAAGGAAATCCACCCATGAATAAGAGGAAAAATGGAAAATGATTTTAATTTTCCTAGTTGTGGAGACTATACAGAATTTGCAACAGAGTAAGTGTATGTGGAGGGGTTATATATATATAAACAGCTTTCATGCTGAAAGAATGTTTAAATCAAAATATGAGAAAAGATCTGTATTTTAGCTTACAAAAAGGATATTTACATAAACAGCATGAAACTTCCAATGCTACTATTCAAAGAAAAGTACATGCTGGATTCACAGTTCAAAATTACTTCTATTCTGACATTTAAGTTACTTAAAAAACAGAAGTCAGAAGCAAAATGAAATATTTGAAATCAGAAATTACAATTTCACCCACACTATTGCTTCATGGAAATTTTCAATATTACGATTTCTGATACCTGTATGGTTTAAATATTCAACATTTCCAAACCTTCATAGGACAAAAAATGAATCTTTCCCCTCTATTCATTAAGCATTTTGAACGGAATAATAAAGACACTTACAGAGGTACTTTGCCTGTCATTAAATATATTCCCTCGCAGAACTGCGTTCTGCCTTGAAAGTAAGAAAATTAAGCATTTGAGCAAATAATCATTAACTGAAATGAGCATTTCCCCACTGATTTTAGTGCACAAAATGAAGGGCTTCACTTTCAGAAACACAGATGTGTGGTTGCCTCTTTAAACACAAAGAGGCATGTAACTGCAAACTGTTCCACTGATCATGTGTACGGATTGTCCTTCCAGTCCTGCAGATTTCAACACATATTTGAAAATGACATACATATATGTATTCCTATAATGCATGTATATGGAAAGGAACATAAAATATTTATATATTTTGGTCTGCATCTTCAGACCAAGTATGCTTTTCTACCCTCAAAGGAACACACAAAAAAAACCCCAAACCCATAGATCTGTTACAGCCTAGATTCGTTTGTTTTTTTTTTTATATATTGCTGCCTACTTGCTCATTAGACAACCTTTCTCTTCCTAATTTATCACTTTAACACCAGATTTAGCACAAAGAACCAGCCTGCAAAAGGTAAAAAAAAAAAAAAAATTATACTGAGCAGTTCACATTAGTGTGAAAGTTGGCAACACCAAAGTGTTTCTATTTATCACCATTTGCTTTGATGGGACACCATTCATTTCATTCATCAGTTGATTCCTTTCAATTATTTCTTCTTGGGAAGAAGTACAATCAGCATTATTTAGTTAGGATTGTTTGCCCAACAGGTTTTGTAAAGTCCATTAAAAGAAACTCGTTCCTAGATACCTGTGCACTGGGTCTAGAGTTTTCCTCCAATATCTGCCTACCTTGTGATTTAACAGCATATTTGTTTTTTATTGTTACTGGAAGCCAACATAGATTTAAACATTTCAGCTCATAAAGAGTGAGCAAAATCAGATGAGTATGTTCTTTCCAATTTCAGGATAACACACTTCTATCTGAAATAACAGCCAGTTTGAAAATCTTCTACCAAGGAATACTGATGAATATCTTACTGTCTGGAGTTGGGAATTGTTGGTTTTTTGGGGTTGGTTTGTTTTGTTTTTCTTTTTTTTCCTCCTCAATTTTGGAAGCATTGGTAATTCTCAGCAAGGACATGGGACACATGATTCTAAACATAAAATAAAAATGACAACATTAGCTCAACTGTTAAATAACCTGCTTAGGTGCACTGGGTCATTACAGGTATTAAGTCTGACAACCTGTCACACCTCTCCTTCCCCTGCCATTACCTTTCAGAAGAAAAGACACATAGATGCATATATCCAAGGAACAACTTAGTTGTGTGTATCTAAGTTCAGGGAGGGCTCTTGGACTGTAAATCCAATGTTCAGCAGCTCTCTCAGGGCTCCTTTATTACTCCCTACTGATCAGCTTGACACACTGGGCATCATGAATTTAATCTAGAGTGCTTAACCTCCCATTTGCTGTGGGAATCACATTGCTGGACCCTGGCTTCTTAGGCAATGGCACTTGTCTATTGCACCAGCACTTGTACTTCAGCCTCTTTGTGAATTTGATCCTTATTCTTCAAGTATCAGAGGATGCAATATCATGAATAAATACAGATATGGTTCCTAGGATGATAACAGTTAAATGTCAGATGTAAATTTACAAGTGTGAGTTGATACATTGCTAATGAGTTGCTCTTACTTTTCAGGGACAAATTCTTCTGCTATTTCTGGTTTCTCATGTGACTCTGGCTTCTCAGGGCCAGACCTTGCATCTGGGTTTTTAAGAATATTGAAAAAGAGGAGATCTGCCCCTGAGACTTGGTGCTGACACCAAGGAAACAGTAAGTTTGAAGGTCCAGAACAAATTCCAGTAAAGCAACAGGCATATTACTCATCTCTCAGTATTTGAATCATTGCACTTGGAGGAGGAGGACTCTGACTTCTCTGAGACTTTTAACTGTTCTTCTCTAAAGTTATTCATTAAGTCCTCCTTTATGGGAGACGGAAATGGTCTTTCTGAGTGCCATTTTCAGATTTCCAGTTAATCACTTGTTAATCCCTGCAGTTAAAGACTTCTCTGTGCTTCAGTTAGCCTCAGTTAAAAATGATGACAAGCATGCTGACAGGCCTAGCAGAGGACTTTGAGAACCTCAGATAAAGAGCACAGTGTTTAACACTACTTCATGAGACACATGCCATCCCTTTAGCTTCACGAACTTTGACTTTCTCTGGGTAGTGAAGAGACAGGGAAAAAATAATATTCAGGGGTAAGAAATAAAAGCAATTTTCAGTAACTTTCAAAGAAGGAATTGCACAATGGTGCTCCTAAAGTTAGAAGGTGTCCTGGGTTCAGCAGTAGCAGTCATTTTTCTCCTTCTTAGTAGCTGGTGCAGAGCTGTGTTTTTGACTTTCAGCCTGGGAACAGCGCTGATAACACCAATGTTTTTAGTTGCTGCTCAGTAATGTTTAGTCTGACCAAGGACTTTCTGAGTCTCATGTTCTGCCAGGGAGGAGGGGAAGCCAGAAGGAAGCAGAGACAGGACACCTGACCCAAAGTAGCCAAAGAGATATTCCATACCACAGCACGTCATGCCCAATAAGGGTTAGATCACTGCTGGGTCAGGCTGGGTATCAGTGGGCGGGTGGTGAGTGATTGTATTCTCTTCCCTTGTTATTTCCCTTATCATTATTATTATTGGTGGCAGCAGCAGTGGTTTGTGTTATACCTTAGTTACTGGACTGTTCTTATCTCAACCCGTGGGAGTCACATTCTTTTGATTCCCCTCCCCATCCCTCCGGGAGCTGGGGGAGAGGAAGGGTGGGGGAGTGAGTGAGCGGCTGCATGGTTCTGAGTTACTGGCTGGGTTTAAATAAACCATGACAGAAGTCCATAAATATTCCTGCCCCCCACAACAACAGTCACACAGCCCCACCAACCGCTTTTGTGCTGCAAAATCCTCAGTCAGCTAAGGTATTTTTACTTGAATCCAAGACTCCTGTCTGTAGCAAAACACCAGTGAAACTGGTGGAAAAGAGTATAACATGCATCCTCTTAGGCTCTCTAAATAAGTAGGAAAATGTCCTAAATAGAGGTCAGGAATATATCTGCTTCTGTGTTTTATTCATTTGCAAAACAGAGCCTCACAGTGGCACAGCAGGACAGTTAGGCATCCATCTGTTGTGCAGAGCTATATTTTTTTTCTGCAAGGTATACAAGAAATAACCAATAATTCATTAGAAAATAATAATTTGACCTTCACTTTAAAATATGCTTTAGTCTGCCTAAGAAGCTATAGCTTGATGTCCTCAGCCTTGCCAGACAGTAGTATTAAGAAGAAAAAATACTCAAAGGAGTATCCAGCGACTGACATCACATCACTGCACCACTACAAACATCTGGAAGGATTACATGGAAGGCACAGGCTCTGTGTTTTATTCCCGTCTCTTAAATGGTGCTTTCCTAAGCTTTAGGAGTGATGTGAGAATCAAAGCCATTGCAGTGTTCTGTGCTGTGCAATGCATGAAGGACAAGGATTATTTACACAAAAAACCAGGATGCAGCAGCAAGCTCCCCTTCGAATACTGGCTTGAAAGTTTGGAAAGGCATATTCAGGTGCTTTAAATGGTACATAGATAATGCAAGATTTTTACAAAAGCACCTTACCATTTAATAGCCAAACTTAGGTGCCCCCATCTTACATGCTCCTGGTCCTCACCTCCAACATCCTATAAGGATTTGCAGAAGTTTGGAGAAAGCAGCTTCCTTCCCAGGAAGATACCAGATCTTTTGCATTTCCACCCTTACAGTACCCCAGCACAGGCTCCAGGACACCACTCGGCTCACCGCCAGGCCACCCTGCCAGTCTCAAGCCTTTGATGTGATGTTCCCAACACAAAGCAAAATTGCCCAACAGTTCAGTCAAAAGTCCTATGCTCTTGCCAGTGAGGGAGGAAGTTAAGAAGAGGGAGAAGGAAGAGGCAGATGGCTATGGAGAAAAGGTATAGGGAATTTTGTTGGTTATACCTGTTAGACTTTCTGAGGTACCTTGCTAGGATACAAGCTTGTGTGGTACAAGCTGTGGCTACCTTAGACAAACAGAATGAATACGTTGATACCTGGGTTTGTGAAATGGCAAATCTACCAGACATTCCCCATCACAAACAGTGACCATGCTTCTGACTAAACTTTTCTTCATAAATTCTTTTCTTCTCCAAAAGCCAGCATCTGGGTTTTAGAGCTATCATAAAGGCTTTCTTTTGGGGTACAAGATGTGCAGCATAGGAGTAGTTAGACAGTAAACCTGGAAGCCTATTAGACATAATGAAAAATACCAAAGAACAAGTGCAATTAATAAAACGTAAAACATTTGCTCCATAAAAATCTAGTATATCATCGTTACTGCTTCAAATTAGTTGAAGAATAATTATCCCCAAGATGTTCTGGCACCTTCTACATCTTGCTTGCAGAAGTTTGACAAAACAGGAAAGACCTGGTAAAGATAAGGATATCAAAACTCTGTTGGGAAAGGAAAATGATTAAACTATTTTAAGTGAAATGACAATACAATCAAAATTGGACAGCACTATTTATCTGTGTAGGGAATGTGCACACATGAGTATCTGAACTGCAGCAAAGGTGACCTTGCGTAGACTCATCTGATAGAAAAGCAGATTAAAACTCCAATCTATCTCAAATATTGTCATTACCTACTTTTAATAAACAATATGAAGCTAGTGGAAGAGTCCAGGTGATTGTTAATGTGAGTGCTTGATTTGCTGAAATTGTGCTGCCTTTTGTGCTGAGGTGATTTAGACAGAGAATTTATTAATGAGTTTTAGGAGCATAGGAATGTTTTGCAAACAGGGTGGAAAAAGTCCTTCTGAAGCTTGACTTTAAGGAAGGTCTCGTTACAAGATTTGTAACAGGGGATTCTGTATTGTAAATATTTCCACCGTTTATCTGGGATAAGGAAAGAAGAAGACCTCTATATCCCAGTGGTGAAAAGACAGCAGAAAAGTCAAGGTTAAGATTGTCTTTGAGGCATATTGCTCCTCTTACTAGACCAGGTGAGGCTTACAGCAAGTGCGTGCCCTGGGGAGGGTTGAAGGTGGTGATCTCCACAGCCCTTCAGTGCACTGGGCACCAGGTATAGCAGGAGGAACAGATCTCTCCCTTGCCCAAGAAGAAAAGGAACAGGGTAGGAGGATGTGCTGGCAGTGTGTGTAGAGAGTGAAAGGAAAGCAAGATGGGCTGCTGGATGCCCTTCCCTCCCACCAGATTCTGAGAAGAATACTGTGCTCTATACTGTGCTAAAACATGACATTTAGACTTGAGCACTTTAAACAGTCCCCTGAGCTATGTTGAGGGTGCAGAACAGCTGTATGTATAATTAAGTAAAGCTAATTACAATAAATAAAGTTAACTAGAAAATCAGTCAGAGCTTTTATTCCTAAAAGTTCTGTTGTTGTTGCCAGAGTTTAAACTGCTGCAGGGCAAGATGCTGGGCCACCACAGATTGTCAGAGATCTAGTCACTTGGTTTTATTTTAAAATCAGATTGGTAAATGGAGAATGTTGGAGTAATGGAGAAGGTGCACAAATTTTACCTCCAGATTTAGAAACTAGATGAGGAGGCTGTTCTCTCTAGGAAAATTGTAGAGCTGAGGTACGTGCCTTCTTTTTCTCTTGGCTACAGAAGACTTCTTGAATGCTCAAGTTGGCATCAGAACATGGTGTGAACATTTCCTTTGCCCATCTACCCAGCCATGCCTGCACAGCTCTGCTCTAAAACTGTTAACAGGTACTGAAACTTTTCTTCTAGCTCAGCTTTGAAACATGACAGTCCAGTGAAAATGTAGTCCAGCTCCATGAAAGTCAGCAAAGTTATACAAATACGGCATTAGTGAGTCCTGCCAGAGTGGGGTTTGCCTACCCATTTGTGAGATTCCTGTTTCAAGCTGTGCCACGAAAGAAGAGGCAGCCTGCCAGGAGAAACCTCAGTTCTGTTGTAACTGGCGGAGAATGTAATACAACTGGATGAATGGTAGATGCTTTGGATTTATGGTGGCACTGCTACCTTGAGGATCAACTCCAGGGAGAATAACGTACAGTATCGGTTGCAAATGTCTTATGGAAAAAAGTAGAGCTTGTTTTGGCTGTAGCTGTGGAAATGTGTGTGGCACAGGTTCAGAGTCGGGGCAAACCCACTGGGAAAGTGTCGCTGTAGTTTGCCTTTTTCTTGCATTTTTTTCCCATCTGCTGCTGTCCACTCAGAAACGGGGTACTGGGCTGAGTACTGGTACTTTGATCTCACCTTATACAAGTATGATGATAGTGCAGTCTGCTCCTTCAGTTGCAAGATATATCCAGAGAGGAACAAATTGTGGTTCAGCTGGCACACAGCAAAGAGATGCCAAAGGCTGTGTGAATTTCTCCTGTGTCTCAGTGCTGGATGCTGGAGTTAAAGACCAGATTGTGAGAGGGAGAGCAATCTTTCTTTGCAGAGTAATGACTTTACTTTGTGCAAGGAGAAAGGAATTAGATTGGCAGGAGCTTTGATTTTGCCTTCTCCCCACAACAAGGCAGTTTCCTGTGCTGGAGAATATAGACTGCTCAATGCACCACTGTCTCACAGTGCTTGCTTTTCTCCAAGACTCTTGGAACAGTGCAAAAACTGGGGCAAAACCTGGAGTGAGCCTCCTAGCAGCAAAAACTACATTTAATTCCTTTGTCTTATTGGCTAAGAGGGGATGTGACCACAGGAAAGATTTTTTAGGATAAAAATGAGTCGGTAACTATCTTTAAAGGATTCAGTTCAAGGGTAGGCGTAATGCAATCCACACAGGCTGTGAAATCATTCTCATCGGGAGGCTTTAAGGAATGTTTCTGGGAGCCAAGGTGAATTAAAGTTTGACCTTCTTTTTAATATTGTCTTTCTCGACACTTCATCTCATATATACACTTGTTTTCAGGTTTCAGGAATAAGCTGCATTGATCCTGTTTTTGGAGATCAGTCATAGTGGTAAACAGCAAGTCTCTGTGATTTATGACTAGGCTTGCAGCTAGTACCTTAGAGATATCTGAGCACCTGCAGCTGGAGGTCTGGCTTTAGGAACCAGGAATTTAAGCCTTTCAGGTACAGCTTTCACAGCCATGCTCATCTGTGGGATGAAAGCTAATCAGATGAGACAGTGATTATTACCAGTGATACTGATCACTGTTCAGCCCATGAGAAACAGATTTTTCTGGGTTTATAATATTATTTGTCACCCCTTTACCTCATGCAATTCTGTATCAGCCCTTTAGTAAAAGCTAAACATGCAGGATTTCAAAGAACACCAAACGTAATGAAGGGGGAGTGGCAGGACCTACTATGATTGTAATAAATTTAGCAAAATTAATAGAAAATTTTTCAGTTGATGAAGTATTCAGACCAGTCAAAGTGGTTTTGTTGTTGTTGCATTGACTCACAACGTGATTTCATACCAGCTACCACAAAAACATAGCTATTGTGTGCAAGTCCCGGTTAGTCATCCCAAATGGCAGCAATGCAAAGTAAAACTGTATTTGTGAACACTAAGTTTAACTAGTGCTTGCCATTATACTTAGTGAAAGCAAGGGTAGCATAGAACACATAGCTATGGACACACCATTATCTTTTCTTTCTGTATGACAATAATGGTTATAAAGGCATCCTATACAACTGATAAGCCTGTCGTTGACGGGAAAGACTGATTTGGGAAAGATTCTTCTTAAATGCTGAGCTTTAAATTCATTCATTTTCATTGCAAACTAAGTAAGAGTTTATCCTTGAATAGCAAGGACAAATTTGGCTACACAGGGCTGGATGTTGCCATGATATTGATAGAAAGGGCCATGCTACACTTCTGGCTGCACAGCATGTAGCAGAGTGCTAAGGGTGAGGTCTACCACCCTCTGAGTCACTGCTGAATATGCCCTTTGGTACTGTTGGAAAACTTGAGCATGTCTGAGATTCACAAGCTGATTTGTAACATAACATCCTTTCAAACAAACACAGCAGCAGCAAACAATTGTGGGAAAAACCCTGCAGGTAAATGACACATCTGTATTGATCAAGAGCCACTTAATAAGGCATTGAAAACATGCCACTATTCATTAGCAGTGATTGAAGGCACAGATTTTTAAGGCCAGGAAGAATCATTATGATTTGATAGCCTGACCTGTACAACATGGGCCAAAGGAGTCCTCTGGCACAAGGCCAACAGCTGTATTTCAACTAGGACATAATTTCTAGGAAGTAAAATGTAACCTTAACTGTTAAAGAGCCTTTGAAAGAGGAGCCATCTTAGGCTTTCATAACGTGTTCCAATCACTAACCACACTAAGCAGTAACCTGTACCATATTACTCCTACTGATACCTACTAATCATTCCATAGGCATTAGGAATAAGATTCAACCAACTTTGGGCACCTTCACTAGAGGACTGCAACTGTGCTAGTCACACTAGGTGCCTTTCACAGACAGTGGAGCAAATAGAAACATTAAGGGAGTGATTCATCTAACTTGTTTTAGACATCTACTTTAGATAGAGATGAATTGTGCTTTATAATCCACTGAGAATATTGCTTAGTATTGACACACAGAGCTTCTAGATGGACCAGCTCAGGTATAGACATCTGTATTTAGTCAGATGAATCCTACCATCATACATGACTTTTTTCTGCTGAAGAGTTTGGCCTTTCCCAGTAAGATACATTTGGTCTATAAGCGAAATATCCCTTAGCCCTTCCCTTGTTAAGGGAAATATAACATGATCCCTTAGTATTTGTTTCCTGACACTTTCAAATATTCTTACAGTCTTCACATTTTCAGTGTCCTTCCTGGACTGTGAACATCAGAACTGGCCACAAGATCAGAGATCTGATCATATATCAGGGTGGTAAATATAGCAGTAGTAGGAACAACAACATATGACTAACTGCAGTAGGTCAGACCCAAGGTCTGTCTAGGTAGATAGACAGCTTCTCTTTGACAGTGATGGGCAGTGGATGATTCAGGGGAAGTTTAAAAAAAGGAAAGAAGTGATAATTTCTGGACTCCTCTACCAGCCTTTAGCTTTATGACAGACACCTATGCGGTCAGGAGTGCTCCCTGGAAGGTACTTAATGAAACCAGAAAGAACTGGTTTCATTAGCATAAGCTTTTGGTATCCATGATATTGTATGCCAATGAGTTTAGCAGTTTAAACATGAAGCATTTAAAAAAAAAAATTAATTGTTTTGTTTGTTTGTTTTGAATCTGCCACACTGTTTTCCCATCCTGTCTTC